CAAGGGAAGGATGACCAGCCACAACCCTAGACAGCCACCCAGGACCATAGCGGGGATTTCGGACGGTATTGATCAATTCAAACACACCATTCGGAGGGATTCGACTGTTCAAAGAAAACAGTTTGTTTTATACTGGTTTTTGACCATTCGGCTTTTTAACATATGAAGGAAAGTCTCACAGTATGGAGTACAGAATGAATTAAGTCCCTTCCCCACACTTCTTATCTCAACGAAATTTTTAAATTTAGACTTTATACGTTCTGAACATATTAGGTACTTTATAAAAAAGGTATTGGAACTTGTTGAGTGACCTTCGGATACTATACGTACCATATAACATTATATAATATAAATATATACGCATGTCTGACGAGCGGCAAGAATCGAGAAACCGGTCGTTTACTCCCAGAGGAATTTCGTCCAGTCATTCATATACTACTTATTGTAAAATATATAATATAATAATATGAACAAAGCGCCCTTCTTGGGGTCAAAATACAGTACGACTTGTATATATAAATATATATATATATATATTCGACATGTAACCAGTCATGCAGAATTGGGAAATGTGCTACAACTTTTGGAGAAAGAAGTGTGAAACAGGTTTAAATACAAATCAACGAATGAGTCTGTCGACAGGTGCGCTAGTGAATCCGGTTACCAGCCATGTGGGCTAGTGTCTCAAGAGTATATAAAATAAATGAAATAAAAAGTTGTTCTGAGTGCCTCCGAAATCCCCGCTATGGTCCTGGGTGGCTGTCTAGGGTTGTGGCTGGTCATCCTTCCCTTGCCCCTCGTGAAATGCTCCCATACGATCAAGCTTCTCGAATGGCCTCTGCTGAGGAAGAACTAATCACTACTTTCTCGTGGCGGAGGTGTTTTCCCATCAGAATGAGAGGATAAAAAGCCGACATCCGGGGCTATAACAGGGTTGGTGGCCCACTGGGAGTTCACCTAGGGGAGTTGGCCAAAAACCCTGATTCCAAACCGACCAAGAGGAGGCGTACGAAACACCCACACCTTTCCGGTCGTGGCAACGGTCGTCGAGGTGTATTGGACACCTTGGACGTTTAACCCCGTCCGGTGGGCGTATGATCCGATGAACTGGACACCGGCCCCAATGGATTGCGGTTTTCACACACCGCCCCGCTGCCTAGCAGATCAGGTTTTGGCTAACCGAAGGCTCCGGTTGTCGATTCCCCAATACCACGTTGGAAACACCGGTTCTCGTCTGATCACCGAAGTTAAGTAACGTCGGGCTTGCATGGGTGACCGGCTGGGAATACCGGGTGTTGCGGCCGTTCCCTTTTGGGCGGTGGTGGCCAAGTGGTTATGTCACGAACTAGTGACCTGGGTGTCCCGGGTTCAAACCGCTCCACCGCCGCCCGTCTTCAGTATATCTGTATTTTCCCTAGGCAGCCTTTGTATGACCGCAGCCCTCCTCCTGAAAGTTGACTGTACATTTTTATATGCAATAAATAGAAAAAGGAAGTAAAAAGACGCGCACAACGCACAAAATCCAACTACCTTGGCCTGGGCAACCTGGCAGTATTCAGCTCACATGCAAATGGTGGAACGTTTTTCTTTTTATAAAGTAATCTTTATTGTGCATTATTGTAATATGATGTTTGGCATACAGTCCTAACTCAGGCAAGTGTGAAGTATAATGTGATATAATCAAATATTTGTGCATTATTTTCCAACGGATATGAATCATCAACTTATCGCACAACATTTCTCCCCTCCTTTTTTAGAGCTCTTTTTCCATTCATCGCATTTGTTCATGAAAGGAACCTCTCATTGTTCTCATCCCACCGTTTTTTTTGACCAGCTCTGCAACCCAGTCGCAGATGGGAACACAATCAATTTGGATAAAACCTATGGTCGATCGCTAAATCCGACAACCGTGTACGATTTTGGTAAGTTTCGATTTTGCTCCATGTCCAGGGTGGAAAAATCAGTTCAATTCAATCACTATGTTGCTATGTTCTCATTAGGATCTAGTGGCAATAAGTATGGTAGTCAGGGGGGGGGGGATGGAATCTGTTCTCCCTAAGCCAAAAAGATTTGCGATGTTTGGATGAAGTGAAAAAGCGACAGAACCGAATTAGCAGAGATGCTTCTCATCCTGAGAAATTGATACACGTTCCGGCCTGTCAACGTGTTGGTAGAGTCTTTTATTGGTTTATATTGACACTAAAGGTTGGCCTAGAAAAGGCCATGATTTCGTGTTTTGGGTGTTGATCATTTTACGAACCCCGTGGTAGACGACAAACTGAGTCCTCCTTTGCTCGTGATGCCATTTTGTCAGACAGTGTAAACCAAACAGTCACCAGAGCGTGCTGTTCAGTCAAGGCAACCCGTAAACGAATCGCCGGATTTGAAATGAAGGCTGGCCTTAAGCCCGACCAGGTTAAGTGTGTTATTGTACCGGACAACGGTGAAGCTGCTTACCACCAACAGAGTTGGGCGACCTTGGCGGGGTTCGAACATCGGACTGTAATGGCCAACGCACACCAGTGACAGCAACTTAAACCGTTTGAGCGCTAGTTGTGTATTCGGATTATTGTTGGCAGTTGGGTTTAGTCTTAATTTCAGTAGCTAGTAAACCGAAAAGTGCTCATGATAGGAGGGACAGAGGTATCAGACCTAGTCTCAGTTTTATTATCGGAAATGTGTGCAGGCGTTTTCGTTCCACCGGGTTTGGGGCACAGATAAATCCATTGATCGAACAAAGAGATGTGATAGATGCTGTGGAGCGTATCGTGTACGAGGAGCATCACATAGTTTCACTGTTTCATGTGCTTTTGTGGATGTCGAAATACGAGAGAGACATCCCAATGATCCATCAAGTCTCCGCTTGGAAGATTCACTAACGATGTGAGATGGGGGGCACTGTAACGGCAATCGATTGAAGCCGGTATTCCAATCAACACCTTTGAATTGTTAATCGGAAAGGATTTACCCTGAGGTGGATGTTGGGCGACGAACGACATGATTAGTTTAAGTTTTGTGGTATTTGATACGCGAAAATCATGTCTTCTCGAATTCGACGGGACTGAGTGAAATGTCAACTCAATGATTGTAATCTGTTCACATAGGTAAGGAAATGCAGTCCTTCGACCATATTGGTGGCCTGGCGATCACGCTGTAGTCGTAGTCTTCCAGCCTTAATGATATATCCCCTGTACGGTCGAATGTACTGTACAACAACACGTAGGAGAATTGTTAAGTAAAACCACCCGACGACCCTCAAACAAACCGATATTCTTCGTAGCTTTGGACGAAACCCTAGTGCAACCCATAGAAAAGCAGCTCAACTCTTCTTGAACAATAGAGGACACCGAGGTCCTTCTCATCTGAGGCACGTGGCAGTTGTTGCTCTCCGAGAAAATACAGTTATCGATTCTAATGGCGTAGAGGTATGGTCGTACTTCTCAATTGCGTTGAATTCGGTATCGTTTTCGACCTACCATTGAGGATTCCTTAGCACTAGTGAGATGAATGGTTAGAACACACAAGTACAGCCTATTCGGGTCTCATATCACACAGTCAGGTGGTCTTTCCTGATCAGTCGCTTTCTACCAACACGTCTATCCAACCTAAGTCCTTTGGCGTCCGTGTATCCCTGGGACAACAAGCCAGGGCAATGCAAATATCTGGGATCATGTGTGATCAGTTTGAAAAGTTTGAAAGAGCAACATTACGATTCACACTATTTTGGTTCCAGATTTGTTTTCTACACTCACATGTTTTTTTTTCTTTTGTGCCACGATCAACTTAGAAGTATTGAATGATTTTCTTGTCTACGAGCCAGATTACCGCGTACCACGATTCCCCCTTTAGGCATTTGCAGTTTTTTCTTTGCTGGGGTATTGCTCTTCATTCACGTATCTACCACGTCCTAAAAAGACATCGTCGATTGTCTGTTCAGTTCAGTTTGTGCAACCATTAACCATGCACTATCGTGCACCGGTTATAGTTGCTATCTTTTTGCTGTCCATTCGGACAAAACAGTTGAAGAAAGACAGCAACGTTGAACGTAGAGTCAACAAGAAAATGGAGAGTTTCAAGGAAATTGAGAAGGTTCTCGAACGCCACCACTGTTTACGACAATCGGCTATTTCACTCAGTATTTCTAACCCCCCGGTTAACAGGTTCTCGTGGTCCCCATCCAGGGTTTTCATACCCTTACTCCAGGTCTTAGTTTGACCAGGCACCCATTTGGCAAATCCTCTTTCTCATCTGTCTAGTTCTCCCTCGATTGTCTGTAAAAATGTTTGTATTCTGTCAGGCAGTGGCCACCCTTTGCGCTGGTTTTACGCATTTCATTGAATCGCTTTCCTCGCCGTGCACCGTTCACAGAGACGTAGCCAGTATTATTGAACGACTGGTACGAATTGCGACACTAATTAATACCTGGTTTGAAGATATGACCGGAAGAGTCGGTTCTGGAGGATCCACGTTTTGGTTTCTTGGTGAATCAACCTGGTCAGTGGTTAGACACGTTGAGTGACATGTCTGCTTGTCGTAATCAGTAGTACCCATGCGTCTACTCGCCCAGTCCAGTGTAGTTGGCTTGTATTCTTTATCTCGCTGATTTAATCTCTTTTTCCTTCTTCATGGTCGTTCAAGCGAGTTTTCAAAAGGTAGCACTCAAAACCAGTGCACGGAAGTGAAAGGTTTATGGTCATACAACAACTTTAACTATTCCACTGTTAATCACCCCCAAATGGTCTTTTTCCTATTGGTGACCAGAAGAGACGCGCTCGATAGCTTACAGCTTTGCTGCTGCTGCTGGTAGTGGTATTAGCATCAGGGACGGTGATTCCAATCTCCAGATTGGTGGATCAGTGTGCGTCTTGAATTGCGCGGCCACCACAACTATTGGCTGTAACATGTCCAAATGAAGTTTGAAAACGTTGTTTTTAGATCGAATGGATTGGTGGATTTTCACGAGACCCGTTAGTATTGTTTTCTTTGTTATGGGGCACGCACGTGAATCGAATCATCGAGGATTGAACCATATTGTAGGTTTTTTTCAACCGCTCAGAATGCTGTAAGCGGAGTATCCGAGGTTCGTTGGTTCGCATACAATATGACAAACACAATCATCCCTAATGGTTTATCCGTCTACTAGCGTTTCCATACCCAATCGATGTGTCATTTAGACAGACTGTTCCGATCACGTTTGCCCCCCTTTTTTGTCATGTGACCCATTAGCACACTGCACCATCACAGGGACAATAATGCACTTTTATTCCACCACGGTCCAGATAGTCGTGCTGGTTCCGACCGGGCATTATTTCCTGCTACCGAACCCGACACGTGACTAACTGAAAAGTACATTGATGAACGATTCCCATTCCGACGCGCGTTATGTGCTTGATTCACATGGTCAATATATTTGTCCTTGACCAAACGATATTTCTGTTCACCGACTGCCATCATCTCTTTCGTTTTTTTTCAGGGATCCGTGTATTCCTTGGGCGAGATCCCCGACGGGCGCGACAGTTGGCTAGTTTGTTCAGCCGACGACTCAGACAATTAGCCGGTTGGTTCGAAAAACAGCACCAATTCGCATTTTATGCCAGCTCTCTTCTGCTTGCTTATGACAATTCGGAGACAAGCAGCAGTTTGAGTAGCTTAACTGCTCGAGGTGAATCATCCACATCCCCGGGGTTGTCTGGAAATTCTGACGAGAGACATCACGACAACCACAATCACAACTCGGATGAATCGATTGTGGCCCACCTGATCGATTTTACCCGTTGGACTGATCTAGTCGGTAATCGGGATGATAACGTGCTTTACGGACTGTACAAGCTGATCAGTCTATTTGATCGTGCAGCGACCGATCGAACATCACCTCCCTCACCATGTCCCCCAGATCGGGTGTTTGTACGGGGATAAAATTATATTTTTCGCAACCCCCGTCCCCACGCACCGCTCCCCTCCTCCTGCCCCTCGTAGTACACACTTCAATCTAATTGGTTCAACGAACCTAGTGCGCGCGCGCGCGCGCACACACACACACACACATTCGTACTATAAACTGTGCGTGCTCACCTGGATCTGATCAAGACTTCTAGTCTAATGGTCAGTGTGTGTTCACCCGTCCAGGCCCCATTCCCCCCCCCTTCTTCTCTATTTTGTTTTCATCCAGTTTGTGCTTTTGGGCTTTTTCTCTGTTTTCTACCCGATTCATCATTTCCTCATCGACACGTGCATATGTCTACCTGTGTATGTGTGTGTGTGTGTGTGTGTATACAGTTAACCGTGTTCGTCCCGATTGTGTGGCGAGTCATACTTTCCTCAATGTCTGTTTCACGGGCATTCCTGTCTGACTTGTACCTGCTCGGTTGCGTGAGGAAAACAATCAACCTGTCGTGCCAATGCCTCTCCCTCATCGCCTTTGTCCAACGACAGTCGTGTATCCACTAGTCCGCCAATCCCGTTTTCTTTCTACCCCACCCCACCCCGCCCCGCTCCTCTCGGTGGCTCCAAGACTTATTTCACACTCTCCGGTCCGCATCAGTCGGCCACTTTTTTTTGTCCAGATCACAGATTGAACAAAAATAACCGACTTTTTGCGGATTGGACTCAAACACATGAGGTGTACACATTTGGGCACTATTCTCCTTAGATCGGATAATACTGTTACTCCGGTCCGCATTCTCATGGAGCTTATCTACTGTCTGCCCTGAACAAAGTGCAAAATAGTGCCATCAATCTGGCTGTCGACTTCTCTCCCTCCCCCCTGTTGTGATGGTCAGGAATGAGTTTTGGTCGATTGGTTTTCCTACCTAAGGCAATTGTATGACCATTGACAGTAACGCAGTTAAGATAACCGCACGTGTTTCCAAGACCCAAGAATTGTGAACAGATCTATAACACCCAGGGTGTCGATGTGATGTTTCGTTGAATTGTGCCACTGTCCAGTCAGTTCTTTTTTCACGGTTTCGAAACCCTGCATTTCCCAGTGGAAAATATTCATCGACTAGAGGTGTTCGACAAT